ACTGTGGCAATGAATATAACTTGGTGCTTAACCAATTATTTTTAAGAGGTGGGAGCACAGTATTTCTTTGAATGTTGAAAGCCAGAAATAGAACCTTTAAGAATTTCTTCCATCTGCCAGCCTGAACGTTGGCTGCATAGAGATTTCAACAGCACACGTGATAGAATAGGACCTGTTGCCCCACATGCAGAACACAGGCCCACGAAATCCAGCGCCCCTTGGGACATGAAATTAGCTGAATCCTGTCGCCAGCCAGTGCCCCCCTTAACTGCTTGGCTATCAGAGGTAAGAACACTTACCCAGAGGTAAGTGACATTTAATCCATGTCACTACCCATGAGCAATACCCATGCCCAGGAAGGACAGACTGTTCAGGAATAAACACGCATAATGATGCCTTTCAGCAGCAGTTTGCTCATTTTAGGAACTTCTCACAGGGATAAGTAGGAGGTGAAATCTAGGGTATTGGTTTTGTCGTTTCAAATGTCTGTTTGGGTTGGAAATGGCTTGAAAAGGAAGTGGGCTTGTTCTGGATGAGTCAGGACTTTTAAGAAGAGATCCAGAGACAGTTAAGATACAGTCCCCAACCCAAAGAGTTACAAGATTTGTAGGAGAGGCAGACAAGTAGTTGGAACTGGAAAAATAAAACACCCTGATGTCTTGGAGTTTGCCCTTGATGAGAGAATAAATCTCTACACCAATTCCTTCCCTATCAGTGAGACTAGTAGGGGGAGGGAGTCCTGCCTGGGAATTCAATTTGGCCCAAAGTCAAGACAGTCTCAGTGTCCCGGCTTCTGCCGCGGGGGTGTATAGCTGACGGTGGAGTGCGGCGGGTAGATGACTCGGAGCTGGGAAAGGCACCAAAGTAGGCCCAGTTCTTTCCTCTCCACATTTCAGTTTCCTCATCACATCTCCAGTTCCAGAAAAGCCCGCTACGCACACAGCCTTCCCTGCACCAGCTCCGTGAGGTTAGTTTGGTGGCAACAGTTTCCTGGAGACCGAGGATAGCGGTCCTGGGAGGACACAGCTCCCCTCTGTATACACACTCTCCCTGGATCGCCAGGGCAAGGGGAGCCTTACAGAGACAATGGTGAAACACCTGGGTCACAGGATGAAGATTCACAGACCATGGCAGTGGTTTGAGTTCTCTACACAGAGGGGTTTCCATGCCCCCGCCCCATCACCCCTACCCTTTTTGCTGGGTCAGTCGCAGCAGCTCCTTCCTTGCCTCCAGGGAGTTCCATGAAGGTGCCTCGTGTCTGCACACCAGCACCAGGTGTGTCTGCACCCCCTGACCTCCCGCTCCTGCCCCTGCTCCTGCGGCCTTGCGGGACGCGGTGCCCTCGCTGAGGGCGGCAGAGGAAGTCCGTGTCAGAGTGCTCCCCCTCCCTCACTGATGCAGGGCTTCCTGCCCCTGTTGCTGCCAGGCCCAGCACCCTAATAACTGCCCTGTGTGCCCAGAGTCTTTCAGGGGCCTTGGCAAAAGGCTCCTTCAGTCTGATGCCTCTTTAGAAGGCTTTCTCTACCCAGTTTTCAGGGGAAGCCATGGAAGCTATGGAAACTGTCAAGGAAGACAGTCAGGGAGGCAGGGATGGTTCGTTCTTAGAAGAGGTCCTCTTCTGCGTTGGCCCTGGGATTAAAGACCTTGATATGGTCCCCGAGACTTGCTGTGATCCGAACTCTGCCCTCCTTGCCAGCCCCATTCCTCACCACCCCGTTCAGTTTCATAGTGTTTCTCCCTTACCCATCTCTAGAAGCACTATGCCCTCGGCCTGGAGACGGTCCTTTCACCTTTAGCCTCACCCACTTTCCTCCCACTTCTGTTGATCAAATCCTACTCCTCCTGCTGGGTTTAACTATGATACCACTTGCTCCAGGAAGCTATCCATGTCTGCTCCCAACACTGGAGAAAGTTGCCCTCTTCTATAATCCCTGTCCTACCATCAAAAGGAGGTCACTTAACATTGCAATGTCTGTTGGCATCTCCTTCTCCCCTACCAGTCCCTTAAGAGTAGGGACTGTATCTTACACAGATTTTCTTTGCCTTTCTATTGAGAGGATGCAGGAGATGATAACTTATCGGGTGGATGAATAGTGGAACATTTCCTGAGATCAAACTCGTACCCCTGAGTCTCTTCCTTTAGGACACGTTTTTCTCGAAGAGGTAACCAGTCCCCAGTGTGCACAGATCCCTGATAGACCCAGCCTGCCGGTCTTCTGGCCTGACGCCTAAGGACGGCCTGGCTTAGGCTTGAGCTAGGATTCCTCCTACATAAGCATCTGATGGGCATGAACCACAGCAGTGCTTCTCAAACTTTAATGTGTACCGGAATCCTGGGATCCCGTTAAAATGCAAATTCCAGCTTAGTAGGTTGGGGTAGGGCCTGAGCTGCTAAGGCTGCTGTTTGGAGACCGCACTTTGAGTGCTGAGGCACTAATTAGAGGTCCTTTTCAGTCTCCTGAGACTGATTCCAGGATTCTAATTTACAAGAAGTAAACGGCAAAGATTCAAGGACTGATGAAGGCTTTCTAGGAGAGATTTATTTATTTTTTATGCTTTATCTTAGTGACAACTGCACATGTGGCCATCACTATAGGTTGCTTTCTCCTCTTCTTATGCTCAAGCCTCTATCCCTTGTCTAACAGAGGCTGCTAAATTTCAAATGCCCACCCTCCTAGCCTCCCTTACTGTTGTGCATGCTAAGTCACTTCAGTCATGTCTAACTCTTTGAGACCTTATGGACCATAGCCGGCCAGGCTCCTCTGTCCATTGGATTCTCCAGGCAGGAATACTGGAGTGGGTGGCCCTCCTCCAGGGGATCTTCCTGACCCAGAGATTGAACCTGTGTCTTCTGGGTCTCCTGTATTGGCAGGTGGATTCTTTACCACTGAGTCACCTGGGAAGCCTTACTGTTCTGAATAAAATTCATAACACGAGCTGGGGCTAGGAGGTGGTGAGTTCCTAAGTTCTGCCTTAAAATACTAATGCAATGGATTGAGTTTTAGAACTAATTTCAGGGGTTTAAAGACAGCAGGCCAATATCTTTGTGATTATCTTAGCTTTCCTCTTATGCTTTTTAACTCGTAGTCACAGAATAGCTGCTGAAGCTCAGTAAGATCAAGCATCTCTAAATATCACCAAATATCTAGTCAGTTTCAAATTTTCATGATCATAATTTTTTCTACAGTTGGTTTATTTGAGCAGGAGCATATTACATTTGGTTATTTTTAATAGCATTATATGCTTTAAGCTCCAAATTTCTTTTTAAGAGATAAAAATAAATCCTTGTTTGTTTAAGCCAGCTTTACTGAGTTGTATGTTCCTTATAGCCAAACTGTAATGCAGTATACATTTTTTAAAATTAAAACTTTCCTGAATTAACACATTTCCTGAATTAACACAAATCAACACACTATGCTTATAGAAATCTTTAAAAACATGGAAAAGTAGAAATAAAGAAAATCAGAGTCCCATTTTTGAAGTACTATTAACATTTTTACATATTTCTTCCAGTGTTGTTTGTTTAGTTGTGATAATACAATAGTAACGAATCTGCATCATTTTTGTTTACTATTTTAAAAAAAGCATTTTAGGGGTGATGAAAACATTCTAAAATCGATTGTGGTAATGGTTGTATACCTGTACATATTCTAAGACATAAATAGGTGACGGTTGTTCAACTACACATACTCTAAAAATCATTGACTTTTACACATTGGGTGAACTATTGTGTATGGCATGTAAATTATATCTCAATAAAGCTGCTTAAAATTTTCTAAATAAGCATTTTCTGTTATGATAAACTTTTTAATATTTTAAATTCTTATACAGTCATCTGTCAAGAGGCTAGACCTCAACTTATTAAGCCTTTCCCCTACTGTTGGATATTTGAGTTGGCTCTACCTTTTGACTGCCATGAAAATCACTGCAGCTAACTTCCAGGTACTTAAGACTCCTCTCTGTCTAGAAGTAGCTCTTCCCAGAAGAGCTGAAATATTATGCCAAACTGTAACAAAGCTTAGGCATTTGTTGAACATTTAGTGAGGGCTTCTATCAGTTAGCTGTGGACAACACTTAAGTATTATATCAATACTTTATATGTGCAATTTCTTCAAATTCTTCACCCCCCTAAGAATTTAAGTTCAGTTCAGTTCAGTTCAGTTGCTAGTTGGGTTCGACTCTCTGTGACCCCCATGGACTGTGGCATGCCAGGCTTCCCTGTCCATCACCAACTCCTGGAACTTGCTCATACTCATGTCCACTGAGTCGGTGATGCCATCCAACCATCTCATCCTCTGTCACCTTAAGCGTCTATTTTATCCCTGTTTTCAGAAGTTGAACTGAAGCTCAGAGAAGACAGCTACCTCCCCCAAGCTCACAAAGCCAAGAAACAGAGGAGCTCAGGTGCTTGTCCAGACCTGCCCATTCCCAGGGCCATGATCATTGTACTCCTTACCAGGTCTTAATCTTTTCAAACCTTTCTAAGTTCAATGGTGAAAATATAATCTTGTTCTGAGTGATTTTCTTTTCATTACTGGTGATGTTGGCTAGTTCTTTGTGTTTGCCAAAGCAGATATGTTCCCTTTTTGTTCATCACCTGTTGTGGTCTTGCCCATAGTTGACTACCCAGTTTGAAGAGTGAATAAAATGTGATCTACGGCTTATCACCATAGTGAAAAAGAACAACTCCAGGCACAGTCTCCTTCTTAGAGGGCTGCACGAACGTGAAAGTACTTTTAATGATGGCCAACCTGACTCGGGGAACTTCCTACTATCAAGCTCTTTGACACAAATGCCTGGCTCGCTCCCTCATCCCTTCCACCTGTCTGGAGCCTGGTCACAGACCCTTCAGCTCAGCACGGGGCAAGGGAAGACCCCCCAGCTGTGGGGCTGGGTCTCCACCTTGAGAGTAGCCTCTGTTCCCTCCTGAAGCAGGAGGGCTTGGAGCAATACTCAGGCACTTGTTCCTCACTCTGCTTCCAAAGCACTTAACCAAAGAGTTACTTGCTTTCCATGGTTATGTAGACAAATACCACAATAATGAAGATGCCGAACACAGCAAGTGTCAAGCCCATTGGAAACATTTCTAGGTTCCCCTTTCCAGGTCTCCTGTTCACTCTGCAGCAGGCTTTTTCTTTGAGGTTCCTCAGTGCTTTGTATCTGATATTTGGTGCTCTTGTAGCACATCTGTGAAAACAGTAGTGGCCTTTAGGGTTGTGTACAACTGCTACTTGAGGACCCCTTAAAATGCGTGGGGCTTCAGTCCCAACGGAGCAACCATGGTGGGACTTCTGAAAGCAACCCTCGGCTCATTTAAAACCTAAGCTAATTTCAAAGAGTAATATTAGCAGCATATCACCAAGATGTGAGATCTCTAAAATCCCACAGAACATGTATTTATCACCGTGTGTGTGATATCTTCCAATGGTGGTGCAAGGCCAGGCTCAGGGCCTTACAGTCCCCTGGTGCCTGTTGGGGATGGGTACTCGCTGATGGGGGCATCTGTACATTGGCCCTCTCCCTTTTCTCCACAGGTATAAGCACTGATTTTTCAGGGAGGAGATGGGAACTACTTTTGAAATCTGCTTATTTTACATTGCCAAAGGAAAGGGGAATTTCTGATCTGCTAGTCAAATCCTGGCAATCGGCCAAAATTAATTCAGAAGTTAGGAAGTATACCAGAAGGCTTTACTGTTTTGACCCATAAAACATCCATTTTGAGCTCTTATTTCAACTCCTTGCTCTTTTTTTTTCTTTTCTTTTTCCTTTCCCACCAATAGGAATAAAGGTTTCTATATGACTACTAATGTTTCTAAATGACTTGGGTTCTGATCTCAGTTTACTGTGATTTATGCTATCCTCCTCAGCTTCTCTGGCCCATTTCCTTATCTCTAAATATGAGTAGTGAAGTACAGAGTCTGTAAGGCCCCTTAGACTTAGAAATTGTGAGAGATCACCTGTCTTTCTCCTTTCGCAACACATTCTTTTCAGACTCAAACCCTTCACAGAAATCTGAATAATGAGTTTTTTTCCAGGAGTTGCATAAGACTCATATCTTATGTACATACATATCTTCTCATATGTTAAGAAAAGCATTACCTTCTTCCCTCAGTACGCTTAGAATCCGAGCAGAAGATTTCTACGGCTTTTGGTTTACTGGTGGAAGTCTTGCATCTCTAACGAACAGAAAAAAAATCAAGAATGTATAGTTTCCAATATTTTATACAAATAATCTCATTTTTTTTCTAGGAAAAGTCATATAATCTGAGAACTGATAAGTTCTGGTGTATCAGGTAGTCTGTGTGTGTGTGTGTGTGTGCTCAGTCATGTCTGACTCTGTGACACCATGGACTGTAGCCTGCCAGGCTCCTCTGTACATGAAACTTTCCAGGCAAGAATACTGGAGCAAGTTGCCATTTCCTATTCCAGGGGCTCTTCCTGACCCAAGGATTGAATCCACGCTTCTTGCATCCCCTGCACTGGCAGGTGGATTCTTTACCCCTGTACCACCTGGGAAGCCCATTGGGTAGTTTAGTACCTCATAACACACACTTTAAGTTAGCCTTCCTTTATTCAATAATTAGTAAAAACATCCAAGTTCTGTAGAGTAATATTTTACTTCAGTGACTCAACACGAACAGCAGACACGCCGGTGATGAGGGTCACGTGATGCCAGCAGTGTTTTGTTCTTAAATATCAGCTCTTTCTTTTCTCTCTTATTTGTACTTCTTTATTGCTTGAAACTTTTTATAATGAGCCTGCATCATTTTTATATAAAGAATAAAATTATTTTAGAAGACAAGTTGGCAATGAACATGGATTAGAAAGTAATTTAGGAAAATGAAAATGTTCTGTAAGAGGAGTAGAAGGAGAGATAATCACGGGGTTTCTGTTTTTTCCTTTTCCCCCAAATTTCTTTCATACTGGTATATTTTTCAATAAAGTCAAAAGGTATAGCTCTTTAGGCCTTTGTTCCCTCTCTGTGAAATAGAGTTGTAAAGATTAAATGATTTAAACTGTATGAAATGATGAAAACATCTGGCACATGGTAAGCATTCAATAAACATTAGTCATAACGATTGTGATAATGATAACTGTTATTAATCTCATGTTGTTGTTTCTCCTCATATGTCTGGTTTCCCTTGACTGTCCATTTATAGTTAAGATTCAGGCCTCATCATCCTCAAATCTCTGCAGTGTCCAGGGGGTGACCCCTAGGAAGGTGAAGATGTGGTGTCAGATGGTGTCACTGACTGCCATTTACCAAGTTCTAGGTCCGATTTCCCATGAATGTGCGGAGCCTCCTCGACCACCCTGCCCTCATCTGGTAGACACTCATGGCTCCATGTTAGAGAGCGTATGTTTGAGGCAGAGAAAGGTTCATAAGTTGTCTAAGGTCACTCAGTATTATCAATGGAACTCTACACTAGACTCCTCTCTACCCTCCAGCTTCTAAAAAAGTAATTTCCCTCCTACGAGAAGTCTTCACTGCTCTTATCCACTCAGATCACTCATCTGGTCTATATTTCTTTGACCCTCATATACATATTCTATACCTGACTTTGTTGACCTGAAGCTTTATTTATTTGTTCAATAAACACTTGTACTGTGCTGCTGAGTACCAGTCCCCATGCTGGCAGTGAGGATTTTCAAAGGGGCCACCACACTATTCTTGTCCTCAACAGCTGATCACTGGGCATGGGGAGTTTGTGTGTATTCTGCACTGACTTCCTTCTCCCTAATCAGACCATCTGTTGGATCTCACAGAGCTGTCTTCTATTTCTCTCCACTCCCCCCTCCCAGTTTTATTGAAATAATTGACATACATGCTGTATAGATTTAAAGTGTATGGCAAGATGGCTTGATTTTCTATTTCTCTTTAATCAAGCCATATTATCTATCACTGGGGGTAGATATTTGTCCCCCTCCCAGGGGCCCAGCACCCCTGAACACAACAGGAGCCTCCGACAGCTGCCACACCTCCAGAGTCCTCAGGAGGCTGTTGGCTGAGGGTGAGGGAGTCAGGCGTCAAAAGCAAGATGGGACTTGCCTCACAGGAGAGGACTGACCTGCACGTTCACAGAACAAACAGAACAAGACCCAGAAGGAAAGACCAAAGGAGGAGTTCTGACAGCAGGACTGAGATAGACTGACCCGGGGGTGATGGAGGGCAGGGCAGGAGAGGGAGGCCGCTGGGCACTCGTGTGAGCCACAGAATTCGCAGGAGGAAGGAGAGCCCTGTGTGTGTTGAGGAGAGCAAGTGTGTTGTTAGGACACCCCAAGAGAACACACAACTTAGTGAGTCTGGGCACCCACCTTCAGAGGGTGCTGTGCCAGCAGGTGTGATGGGCTCAGCCCAGCGTGGGGTGGGAAGGGCCTGGCCTGCTCCGTGACCATCTACTGGGGGTCACCCACTCTGGCAGAGACCACCAGTGGTGAGTCAGTTGTGGCCTCCACCATTCCCCTCTACCCACCACCCCACCTTCTTAAACAAGATGTTCTCAGCAGTGGTTTACCAACTGCAGGGTCTCTGTAGATGGTAGGAGCTGTGCCTGGCACAAGAGCACCACGTCTGAGGGAGCACTGTTCCCAGCGAGGACGTCACCGCACCTGCACTCCATCAGTTTCCTGGAGGAAGAACGCAAGGCTCTGGAGGTAGAAGGACTTTGAAAACTCCCACATGTGTGGGCTTCGGGGGTGTGCTCGTCAAGGGACACTCAAACTATTTCCAAGGGGGTTGGAAAAATCTTTTATAAGCACATTCTTTTCTTTAAACCTTTTTTAATTACAGAAGTTTCAAACATATACAAAAGTAGACAATAGTATAATGAACCTCTGTGTACCCATCACATGCAGCTTCTTTTTAATTCTCTTACACTTAAAAATAGTTATGTTAAGTAAAGCATTGGAGTAGAAATCTGTTGCAAAATCAAATTATAGGATTTCACAGTTCTTAGGCAATCACATACTCCCCTCCTATCTTTCCTCCTGTCATAGGAGGTGTAGGTCTTTGATTTCCTTTTCTTCTATAATTTATTGCCATTACTTGTATTCTTAGAGTTCTCCTACAGTATGTAAAAGGTGAATGTTTTGATTTTCAAAAAAAGGGTAATTATGCTTGTCACATGACTCTGCAGCCATCAATAATAATAATAAAGACTATATAACAGGGAAAGAGTTATCAGCTAATGTTAAACACAGTAAAGTACAAAATGCTATGTGCCCATTGACGACAGCTGTGTAAACACATACTGCATGTGCACATAAACAAAAACTGGAGGGAAATTGAAAGAATTAAATCAGTTTTTGCATGTTTGTAGTTGATTTATTTTTTATCTTTGAACAATTCTTTAATGTTGCTGTAATACGATTTTCACCGTAAACACCATTTACAAGGGAACTAAAAAATATTGGTGCTCATTAAAGCCATGGCTTAGTGAGGGTAAATGGCACCCATGGGGAAATGGAATATCTCTGCTCCTTTCTCCCTATGCCAGGAGCTAGATTCTGCAAAGGCAGCGGCTTTTGCAGAGCATTTGCAGCTGATACTGAGGAAATGCGTGACCTCCTCTGCTGCTCCACCCCCTTCAGTACACCCCTAGCACTGAAATCAGAAAAATACGCTCATCCACATATTACCGATCAACTGTAGATGTAAATGTAGTAGTTCTGAGATATACCAGTACAATAAACTGTGAGTGTCTCACTACAATACCAGCTAACGCTTACATAGCATTTCCTGTGTGCCAGTCCTTGTTCTAAGCATTTTACAGAAATAAACTCATTTAATCCTACCACCCTATGAGGAAGATGCTTTTATAATGCCCATTTTGCAGATGAGAAAACTGAAGTATGGCTGGTTTAAGTAGTGTGCCCATGGTCACACAGCTGGCGAGATGGTGGAGCCAGCGGCCAACCCAGGCGGTGCAGCCTCGGAGTCCCTCCTCCTCACAGCAGGCTGTACTGCGTAATGACGGTGCTGCTTCACTGGAAGGGAATTAGAAATACTGTGCCCGAATGTTTAATATCCTGGGCATTGAACATGCCTCGGTTTGTTTAATCTTTCTAACAACTCTAAGAGCTAATTGTCACCATTTTATAGGTGAAGAAATAGAGACTTATAGGCTAAATTATTTACCCCAGATTACACAATTAGTGAAAGGAATAGCTGTAATTTAAATTCATATATTCTGGCTTCAATGCCTATGCTTTCTGGTTTTTAGTTTTGGAATCATTCTGTTGGGGAAATTCATCATTATGAATATATCAAAACATATTTCTGAAAACTGATATCGTTAGTTGATAAATTATCCAATCATCAATTAATTTCCTGAAGAAGTAACACTTGTAACCATCAGATCTCTTCTTCAATATTTCAGATAAATTGTCTTTTTATAGGCTTTTTCCAGGTAGAGTATTTTGTGCTAATTCTGGCCTACTTATATATCAGTTCAATTCAGTCACTCAGTCGTGTCTGACTCTCTGCGACCCCATGGACTGCAGCACATCAGGCTTCCCTGTCCATCACCAACTCCCGGAACTTACTCAAACTCATGCCCATTGAGTCGGTGATGCTACTTATATATGTGGGTGCGTGTGTATGTGTCATATTGAATGTGGAAGTGGATTGTGTATGAGATATTATGTCATACTCTGTTATGGCTAACTATAAAACACTGGGCTATTATCTAGAGCCAGAAAGAACAATAATCATTTTGTATCCTCATTAAATCATTACTCATCCAAAAATGTATTTGCTCTTGAAAAATAATCTACCTTGACTAAAGCCATTCATACTTGCCCATAAAGAAATGCAAGTTTGTTTGCATTTCCACAAGAAGTGTATTTTACAATGTAGACCCAAATCTAGACAGAAATGTCATAGGTTGATACCCACAATTATAGGCAATCAAAGCGGTGCCGCACGCTGGGTTTCCCACCCTTTCTTCCTCTTATCCTCCCATTACTTCTAACTGTTGGACTCTGGGGAATCTAGAGGCAGTGAAGCTCCTGTGGGTGGGGACGAAATTCTCTCCTAATCACTAATGTAATTAGTCGCTAACTCACTAAAGCAATTTTTGGAAAAGGCCTATATGTAGAACCAGACTTTTTACCAAAGACTTGGCAAACTGGCAGTTTGTGACCCTGCTTAAAGGCAGAAAAAAAACCTTTTGAT